AGGAAACTGCTATTTCTACAGTATTAATAGTGGACAAATGTATGGTGAAAGTTCTAAAAATATGTTTGTTATATAAAAATTATGAAAACATTTGTTTTCATAAAATAAAATACATTTTAAATTAAAACATTAAATGTATTTAAATGTAAAACTTAAAAATTTTGAGAAAGCATTACCTTAGCAATAAATTAAAATAATGTAGCCTTGTAGAGGCTTAATGGCTTAATGTTTAAAACATTAAATCTTAAATTATAAAAAATAAACGCTAGCTTTAGTTATTTGCAATACACAAATAAGATTAAGACTTAATTAACATTCAGTAACATTAACAGTTCTATTTGCATGTGTTTCTTTACATTGAAACTGGCCTTACTTGTTTGTAATTGCAGATTCTGATGGTTTTCAAAATGATCTGAGGTTGACATGGAAGAAGCTGCAGAGGACGGCTCAGAAGTCTGTGACAACTCAATCTGTGTAAGTCTGTGTCTGCGAATGGCATCATGATGCTCTGCTCTCTTTTAAAAAAGCAAAAACACATAAACATCATCAACAGCTTTGACTAATTAAAATATACTACAATTCAAGCTTTGAACAATTTGAACATCAGCTTGACGAATAATTATTGTATAACCATAAATATAGCACATCTTTACCTGTAGTCTTTGCGCCGTCCTTTCATATTCTTGCTTCAACTGCTCCAGTCTTCTCCTCAGCTAGAATATTACATCAATGACAGTTAAATACATTTTATTTTACTGCATTTTATGTACAAACACAAAATAAAAACATTGAATATTAAGGTAATTAAAAAGGCTACTGTGGTACAGGTAGGATTTCAGACGTTAATACAACGACACTACATAGTATTTACATCGCGTGCTTTACAAAATACCATGGTACTTACATGTCAACACTGTAATTGTACAGGTAGTTTGGTTATTTACATAAAGCAGTTGTGGTTAGTTGTCTGGATAATTAAAAGCATTTTTTATCTAGGTCGTTCACAAGTATATATATAAAACATAAACAAGTACTTACAGTCTCTTTGTCCTCGTTATGGAGAATCTCCTCCGACATCCTGTAAACTTATCTGCACATATGTTTATTCATATATTTACAGTTAAAACTTACTTGTCAAGTATAAATCTGACACAAGAAAATGAACATATAGAGTAAACAACAAACAACCACATATCATCTGACGCAATAAATTCACAAATAAACATATTTGGCAGGTCAGGCGATCGTTTTTACAAACCGAACACCCATTCACACACACACAGGAGGAAAACAATACTCTTAAAAGTATTTTTAACGTTACTTCAGTTTCTAACCTGACAAGACTTGCGGAATATTTTGCCACGCTCAACCGTCCCGCGAGTTCTGACTGCAGACTAAACTAATCGATAACAACTCACTTTTATCAAACTTCGCTATCGCGTGAACAAAGACTGTATATGAAGTTACTCGGTTTTCCTACTAGTATTACAGTGTAATGCATTAAATTATCACATTAAATAGTCGCAGAAGAACAGTGTTTAGGTTAAAACGGACTTGTGCATGACCTGTCTGATCATGTCATCGGGACTCGTCACTAATGTCTGTCCACAGAGTTTCTCATGTGCTTGGCAGCAGATTTGAGGTCGTCTTCCCCATCTGGCTGCTGTAAGGTTTGCAGTTGTAGATTAAATATTAGCTAAAGGTGAATATTTGCATAAGAGAGAATGGTGCTTCATAAATCTTGTTTTAAAGGCTCACGTGTACAGATATTAGTTGCTACTGTAGGTTCAAGTGGCCAATATAGCAGGTGGTTTCTGCATTTATCATTAACCTTTCTGCCACCAGCCAAGACTGTAAATGTGCCTCTTTTTAATGAATTAGAAGGTGTTTGTGCTCTAAAAATTAGAGGAGAGTGGTAAAGAAAGTAACATTTTTCATAAAAAATATTTTAAAAGAGAATATTAGATGTTTAAGTCCAGTATTATGGATGTCACATTTGCCATGAAATGGTAAAACATAAGTTAACGTAGAAAGTATATGTTAAGATTATATTGAAACATCTGTTTATTTTTTTCCAAAACAGCTCATCACAAAGTTATGGGAGCAGAAAATATCAATCTGTAAACATATTTTATATTTTAATTGAGGAAAATTAACATGCGTTATGGATGTGACGAAAAAAGTCTGTGAGTTTACAGTATACAACATACTTCGTAGAAATTATGTGAATTAAAGTGCACAACCCCAAAATAATGCTAATCTAAAGCATTAGGGTTGGCTCACTATAGAACAAACATGATTGGTTTTATTTTATTTGACAATTTTTGCATTTATTAGAAAAAAAGCTCCATAACGGATGTGAAATTGGCACCTGTGTGATTTTTGATGGTATGTTTAGAGTCAAAAAACCATAAAGGAAATTTTTTTCACTGATTTTTTTAATTAGACAGTGTAGAAAACAATTATACAACACCATATTTACGTAAAGCAGGGAGGTACAAAAAAAACTCATATCATCCAACATCATCTCATATACTTTATATCATCATGATACCTTTTCTATATATTCAGTCAGTTAATACCCTGACCATGTGCAAACGACTGAAAATTCATTCATTCTTTTTCTTTTGGCTTAGTCCCTTTATTAATCTGGGGTCGCCACAGCAGAATGAATCAGAATGAATCTCAGAATGAATCGCCAACTTATCCAGCATGTTTTTACGCAGCGGATGCCCTTTCAGCCACAACCCATCACGGGGAAACATCCACACACACTCATTCACACTCATACACTACGGACAATTTAGCCTGCCCAATTTACCTGTACCGCATGTCTTTGGACCGTGGGGGAAACCAGAGCACCCGGAGGAAACCCACATGAACACAGGGAGAACATGCAAACTCCACACAGAAACGCCAACAGAGCCGAGGTTCGAACCAGTGACCCAGCGACCTTCTTGCTTCGAGGCGACAGCACTACCTACTGCGCCACTGCATCGCCACATTTTATTATACTACAAAAATAATATCACATGTCTAATATCACCTAATAATATTTGCATCAGTTTTTATTTAGTGTTTCTGTATCAGGACACTTGTTCTCTGCGAGCACGTACCTGTGGTCTGACGTAATGGTTTGTGGAGGTGATAGTGTTATTCAGATGTATCTGCATGTGGAGTGAAGACGGTGTGTCCCCAGTAGGTTAATCTGGAGGATTTGCACATAAAAGGTCAGTTCTTGCTCTCTGACATTTCCGGTCTGATTTCACAAAAGCTTACCTTGTTGTTGCTCATAAATACAATGTACTAAATGTACTCAAATACATGAAGCCATGGTTGTCTTGTAAATATCCTGTTTCCCAAATGTGATTACAAATGCATTTTTGTAGATCTGAAATTTTGATCTAACTTTTAGTTGCACTTGTTACACAATCAATTTTTAAAGTGATGCATAATAGAGCATGCATAAAAAACAACAGCATCAAAACTAAAACCAAATTATTATTGTCGCTTCAGACTTGCGTAAATCCAGTTTATGTCTGTAAAATGTCTTTGCTCTGAGATGACCGTGTGTATTGCCATGACTACCGTCAGATAGCATGATTTTTAATATGCAGCAAGTGGAAAGTCATCTCTGACGTGATGGCCTCATGAAGCATTTGAGCTGTAACTGACCTCAGGATGGGGTTGCCTGCTTTGATAACAATCCCAGCCTTGCTTATAGAAGCATTTGACTATTAAAGCCAATATTAATATTCATTTTTTCATGGAAGAATTATATAAAATATGTAGTATGATGAATAATTAAGCTATTACTGGTAGTATTATTAATATTATTAATATTTCCTGGAGTCTTATGAAAGGTCAGTCAGTACATCAAGCTTGAGATGATTAAACATTATTCATCAAATAGTCTTGTAGTTCAATAATTAACCCTGCTATAGGTGTTCTTAGCAAGCTGCCAAACCACACCTACAATATGTCAAGCATTCTCCAGTCAGAAATCCTGTTTGGGACAGCATAGCTCTCTATAATAACTCATAAATTTAAAACTGATTCTATTTAAAGATAAAAAATGATTGAGAACAAAATATGCACGGCTCTTTTAAAAAGCGGCATTGTTGTCTCTGCAATTAGTATTGTTTGAGTTTTTCTTTTCGAATTAATAGGTTATGATGCATAAATGGAACAAATGCTTGACATTTGCATATAAACAGATCCAGTTGTTAAGTTAAAGCTAATTAATTTGCAAATAAAATTAATTATTAACATGACATTTGACTTTTTTCAAAGGTTTCAGAAAAGATATAGACTAATGCAAGCAGAAATCATGTTCCTCTGAGGATACAGTATTGTGTTGTGTGACAAAAATTAATAGTTTATTATCTTTTTAAATATCGCATATGTGGAAAAGCAAGTAAATTTGGTTATTGATACTTAAAGAGATCTATCACCTAAAAATTTTAATCTACTATTATAAAAGCCGTGTACCTTACAGTAGAACAATAAGCAAGATTATTAGCTGAAATCATCCATGATGATTCTTTAAATACATGTGAATGGTTACCGGTGAAGTGGTTACGAATTATTAGAAATTAAAAATCAAAGTTAATTTGTCTTTCTAGTCTGTACACTTTCGTTTTATTAAGTAGAAAATAGAAAATAAATATTTTAAATTAATGTAATGTGATGCTATGATTTACATGTTTCCGATTGGCTACTTCTACTTCATACTTAATGAGGGGGAGGGGCTTGCTGCTCAAACAATACACAGACTCTGACGTGAAGCAGCAGCAGCTCCGTGTTTCCTGTGTTTTTATTAACATTATTGTCCCTCATCAGGCGGTGAGGGCGCTACATTTTGGAGGCACCGCTGGGATGGATGCAGTGTGGGTCGGCTTCGAGTGATGACAGTTGTCCTTCAGTGCCATTCATCTTCTTACTCAGCCTAGGAGATCAGTGAAGTGAGGGTGTCCACGGTCCCTGTTGTGTTTGGACAAAAGTGCATTCAATCTGAGATCAACTTACAGTATCAGGATTGCTGCAAGATTCCAGCCAGCTACGGACATTGCACACATACATTGCACTGCACATTTCCAAAGACTGAGCAACCTATGGATTCCTTAGAGGACTTGAAGCTTGAGGTTATAGGAGCATTATATGCTCTCTCAAAAGGAAACCTTCTTGAATTATGTCACTTTCTGGAAGTTAAGTGTGAAAATGCTGTCAACAAAAGTCGTTCAGCACTCATTTCTTTGATTGTAAAACACATTGAGAGAGAGACATTAGAAGAGCTTGAAGATGCTGGTATGTCAGAGCTTTTGTGCTTAAAAGATAAAATTTGTGAAATTCAGTTTGGAAACAGTGATCCAGAAAAACAAACACCTCACACATCAATAAGAGGGGCCTTAGACCAGGTAGCAGAAAATGTAGAGCAAGAAAGACTGCAAAAAGAAATTGACACATTACAGGTAGCCCTGCAAAAGCTAATTGAACAAAAACAAGGAGCAGGTGATTACACGTACCACAACACTAGCAATCAACAACGCACAACCAAATCACAAAACCCTCTTGCATCCCACAATGTGAACACACAACAAGAAACAAGTACCTACCTAAATCAAGTGCCCTCTCAACCAGTTATGTTTCCCTGGAATAGAGAATTTAAAATTTCAGGACAGATCGGTGAGCATGGACAGAAAGACAAACTCACTTTTTCAAGTTTGGCTCATCAAATTGAGCATGGACTGAGCAGAGGGGTTTCGGAACTTGAAATAGTGGATGCTGTAATCAGAGCAATAGCACCAGGCATGCAGCTGCGTAGCTATCTGGAAGGAAAACCAAATTTAACCTTGCCCATTTTGAGACGAATTCTCCGAGCACATTATCAGGAAAGAGGTGCAACAGAACTGTACAAGCAGCTAACATCAGAAGTTCAGAGCAGTAAGGAGAATCCACAAAGTTTTATTGTTCGGTGTCTTGATTTGAGACAAAAGATTCTGTTTGCTTCCCAGGAGGCAGAATCTACTTTGAAATATGATCCAAATCTTGTTCAGAGTATGTTTCTCCACACTGTCCTGACCGGCTTACAAAATGATAGTATTAGAAGTGACCTGCAACCTTACCTCACAAGAAATGAGGTGAGCGATGAACTTCTATTGGACAAGGTCAATGTTGCCTGTGCAAATGAAACAGAGCGTCAAAACAAGAAAAAGTATCTATCCCAACATCATCTCACTAAAGTAAATCCTGTACAAGTTAATGAAGTCGCTATTGAAAAAAAAGGAAAGACACAGTGTCACAGAAATACAGAGAAAGTTGAACCTGACCTTTTGAGTGAGTTAAAAGGAATGCGGTCTGACATGGCAATGTTGAAGGATCTCAGTGTAGAGGTGGCTCAAATTAAAGAATCCATACGACAGCCTCAGGTCATGCCCACACAGTCCTCCACCCATTTAAGGGATACCATATACATGCAACCTCCCCAGTCTACATACCACACTGCACGTTATCTGCAGCCTTATGACAGGCGAAGGGGAGCATATCAGCGACAACATTGGCTCCCTCCACAACAATACCACCCTCCTCCAACCCATCTAAGGAAATGTGTGGCATGTCAGCAGAGCGGATTAGATGTGCACTGTACTCACTGTTATAGATGTGGGAGTAGCGACCATTTTCTGGCAGGTTGCAGAGTGCGAAATCCAATGATGTACAGAGACCAGTCGTTAAACGAGACCGGGTCACGACCGCGGGACAGGGAGTGACCAGTGAAACATTGGAGTCCCCACAAAGCTGTGCACACTGTGGTGTAGTGAATCCTGACTTAAATTTGCAACAATGTTCTGCCTGTAAGCAAACACTTTATTGCTCCAAAGCCTGTCAATGTCATCACTGGACAAAACATAAGAATCAATGCAAACAAGTTTCCAACCGTGATATGAATTCTGCCATGATTGAAAAGAAAACAAATGCAAAAGAATCTATTTGTGCTGATTTTGTTGGAAAGCAGTGTATTGTACCATGTTACATTCAAGGCCAGCTTGTTGATGCATTATGGGATACGGGATCACAAGTGTGCATAGTGGATGAACTGTGGAAAAATGAGTACTTGCCTAACATGAGGTTGAGGGATGTGACAGAGGTAATCGATGCACCTGAAAGTCTCCGTCTTGTGGCAGCAAATGGACAGGACATTCCTTACATGGGATGGTTGGAAGTGACTTTTGGTTTGACAGTAACTGAAACTGAAACAAAAGAACTTGTCATACCTGTGCTGGTGATGGAGGGCAGGCAGCTTTGTCGTCCTATTATTGGATTTAATGTGATTGAGCGAATTCTAAATGACAATAAATTACCTCGGCCAGTCACAAATGAATTTCTGAGAACAGTTCTCCCTAGTGTGGAAAGAGAGAAAGTACATGCTTTTATTAATCAAATCCACTCATATAAACCCCATGGTGTAACAAAGGCAGTTAGTGGTCTGCTTTCCTTGGCCATGAAACCCTGATGGTATGCTTTTCCTTGGTCAAGGAGTGAAAACCAGGAGTTCCCTCCCAAACTGTCCATTATATCTTGTACCCGGGGAATGGGCTGCCTATCAGGATGTGTTTTTCTGTTCAACTCTCTATAATCAATACACAAGCGTAAGGTGCCATCCTTTTTCCTGACACACACTACAGGTGAGGCATATGATGAATTTGATTTCTGTATCCATTTTTGTGCAATGAGATCATGCAGGTAGTCTTTCATTTCCTGGTAGAGCGGTTTAGGCACTGACTGGTAAGTACGTGCTACTGGAGTAGTGTCTTTCAAAGAGATGGACAGTTGCAGCTTTTCAATGCAGCCTATGTCAGTTTCGGATTTGGAAAATGATGCCGCTTCCTCTTTTAACATTTGTTGAACAATTCGTTTTTCAGATTCATTAAGATGACTTAAGTTTACAGGTGGAACCCATGTGTTGTCAGGGGTGTGGCCAGCTTCAATTTTTATTTCATTTATTCTCAGAGATGGTAAGTCATTATTGTCAAATGCAGCTGTTGGATAAACAGACTGTACTGGCTGTACTGTTCCTATAACCGTCTTGCCCATTAGCATTAAGTCGTGATCTGTGGGGTTTTGTACACTGATGATAATGTGTGGGGACATGTGCGGGATATGAGTGGATCCGGGTACCTTTCGGCCTGATGAATGCTCCTTCAGTGTTCCAACGCTGCATGGAGGAATGCCTGGAAGAGCTGAGAGACAATATCTGTGTTCCTTATCTGGATGATACCTTGGTTTTTAGCAAAACCTTTGAAAGTCATGTAGAGGATGTGAGAAAGGTCTTGCAAAGATTAAGACAGTATGGGATAAAGTTAAAACCTATCAAATGTGAGTTGTTTAAGCGTGAAGTGCGGTACCTCGGGAGAATTGTGTCTGAGGAAGGAAGTAAAATGGATCCGGCTGACACAGCTGCCGTGGAAAGCCTGAAAGAGAAAAGACCTACCACAGTTGGACAACTGAGATCTGTCATGGGCCTGCTCAGTTACTATAGGCAATATATAAAGAACTTTTCAAAGATTGCAGGACCTTTATACGACCTACTGAAACAAACAGAAACTAACAGAGAGGATTACAAAGAGAAAAGTAATCAAAAGTGGAAAGAAAAGAGTAGGGGGTTGTCCTCCAAAACACAAATTATATGGACAGACAAACATCAAGAGATACTAGAGAGACTGATTGACTGTCTGGTTGAGCCACCTGTCCTTGCATTTCCTGATTTCTCACAGCCATTCATACTCCACACTGATGCATCAAATCAGGGACTTGGGGCTGTTTTGTATCAAAAACAAAATGGAAAATTAAGAGTCATCGCTTATGGGTCTCGAACTTTGACAGCCGCAGAAAAGAAGTACCACCTCCACTCAGGCAAGCTGGAGTTTCTTGCCCTAAAGTGGGCTGTCAGCGAAAAGTTTAAGGATTATTTGTACTATGCGCCCACATTTACAGTGTACAGTGACAACAATCCTCTCACTTATGTCTTGACCAGTGCAAAGTTAAATGCAACAGGATGTAGATGGGTTGCAGAGCTCGCAGACTTCCATTTCACAATAAAATACCGTCCTGGAAAAGAAAACATAGATGCAGACAGTTTATCCCGTATGCCACTAGACATTGAAACTATAATGGAGCAGTGTACAGAGGAACTTACATCTGATTGTGTTGAAGCAACTGTGCAGGCAATAGAAATGCAGGATTGTACAACTTCATGGACAGCCATGACCTCTCTTAAAAACCCAGCAGAGTCTGTGGAGTCAAGCGAAAGATATTCAACTGATGAAATACGACAAGCACAAAGGGAAGATGCCCATATTGGGCCAGTGTTACAATGCAAGTTGATTGGCGAAAAACCTTCTAGACACCAACTGAAAACATTTAGTATACAAAGTAAAAGTTTGTTACGCCAATGGGACAAACTTACTTACGGAGAGGATGAAATCCTTCGCAGAAAGACAGCTACCCGAACTCAGCTTGTGTTGCCAGAAAAATACAAATATTGTGTCTTGCAAGAGTTGCATAGTAAAATGGGTCATCAGGGAGTGGAAAGGACCATGTCCCTCATTACTGACAGGTTCTTCTGGCCAAAAATGCAGAGCGAGATTGAACATTTTGTGACCAAGTGTTGTAATTGTTTGAAACAGAAGAAGCCAAGTAAAGAAACAAGAGCACCACTCATGAATATTGTCACCACTCACCCATTTGAACTTGTTTCCATTGACTTTTTGCACCTTGACAAAAGCAAAGGAGGGTATGAATATGTCTTGGTTATAATGGATCACTTCACAAGGTTTGCTCAAGCTTACGCCACTACATCGAAATCTGCAAAAACTGTTGCTGATAGGATTTTCAATGATTACGCACTGAAATTCGGATTCCCTGAACGGATTCATCATGACCAGGGAGCTGAGTTTGAAAACCAGTTACTTTCTCAATTAAAGAAAAATTGTGGAATTGCAGGATCACGAACAACACCATACCACCCACAAGGAAATGGGCAAGTGGAACGTTTCAATCGGACATTGCTCCAGATGTTAAAGACTTTAACAGAAACACAAAAGTCCAACTGGAAGGAATCGTTAAACAAACTTACTTTTGCCTACAACAGTACACGATGTGAGGTAACTGGATTTTCACCATTTTATCTTCTGTTTGGGCGTTCGCCAAGATTACCTGTAGACTTGCTTTTTGGATTAATGCCAGAGGGAGGGACTGAGGACCACAAGGAATATGTAACAAAATGGAGTCAAAGAATGCAGGAAGCATATGAGATTGCAAAAGAGAACAGCAAAAAGGTTTCAGAGAGAAACAAAAAGAACTATGATGGAAAGGTCAGGAGCTCAGTGTTGCATCCAGGAGATCGTGTGTTGGTGAGAAATCTTACACCTAGGGGAGGCACAGGGAAATTACGAAGCCACTGGGAGGATCTGATACACACAGTTGTTCGACGATTAGGGGAAGAATGCCCAATTTATGAAGTGAGACCTGAGCAGGGTAAAGGAAGATCACGTGTTCTTCACCGAAATTTATTGATGCCCTGTGATTGCTTACCACTGGAGATTGAACCTGGAAAGAAAGCAAAATCAAAAGGACCATCAAAAAATCTAAAACCAGTAAAAAGGAATGAACCTGAGCCAGAAGAGGATGAGGATGAAGATTGTCCTTATTACTATTACTTACCTGAAATCCAGCCTCAGAGCCTTGGGCAAGAGATTGTTGAACTCAGAGAGCAGAATGTATCTGAAGCTCAGTCAGAATTACCTAAAGGGGGAAACAGAAAGTTAGTAAATGAACACTTACCTTGTGACTTGTCTGGTGAACCTGAAAAAGAAAAAGAGCAAATCAGTGAACGGACAGAACAGGATCAGATAACAAATGTTTCAATGGACCTTGAGGATATGTCTCAACAAGAAGTTGATGTGTTAGAGGAAGAACAACCTGAAGAGGCACCTGAGAACATGCAAGAAGAATATACTACTTTGAGTGAAAGTAGCACAGAGGCAGAACAAGAAACCAGGTGGCCTCAAAGGGAAAGGAGACAACCAAGAACATTTACCTATGACTATTTGGGCACTCCAGCCTGTTATAATGTTGGACATACTAACACCACAGCATTTCATCCCATGCCATATAAAATGCAGAATGTAACTCCGTGGACTTACCTTGTGCAGCAATATGAGCCAGTATATTCATACATATATTGAAAGATAGAGTTTGTGGAGGAAAAGTGGGATTAGAAGAAGAAACAGACTAGGTAGTCTCAACTCGTACCCCTATTCATAATATGCAGAGCACACAAGTAATGAGACATACAACCACTAGACATTAATATCACATAATGACAAGAAATTGTTCCGTTTTCGTGGGAGATAAACAGGAAAGTAATGTCGGGACGACATTTATTTTGATGGGGAGAGTGAAGTGGTTACGAATTATTAGAAATTAAAAATCAAAGTTAATTTGTCTTTCTAGTCTGTACACTTTCGTTTTATTAAGTAGAAAATAGAAAATAAATATTTTAAATTAATGTAATGTGATGCTATGATTTACATGTTTCCGATTGGCTACTTCTACTTCATACTTAATGAGGGGGAGGGGCTTGCTGCTCAAACAATACACAGACTCTGACGTGAAGCAGCAGCAGCTCCGTGTTTCCTGTGTTTTTATTAACATTATTGTCCCTCATCAGGCGGTGAGGGCGCTACACCGGCACTTTGAGTCTCTGAATCAAAAAATGTATTGAGGTGAAACAAAAATCAATCAAATGGCTTTATACTCCGAAGGCTTAAAACAAAACAAAAAAATGATCTAGCTAAGAAACTGAAAATGTATACCTTTAATTCACAGACTAAATGGACCTTCCTGAGCACATTCTGCAAGTGCAAGCTTCTGAGCTTGTGCTGCTGCCTTGACTTGCATTTTTAATTGCCAAGAGGTTTTCTAGCAAAACTCTTTCTAAGTGTTTTACTTAATAAAAAAGGTAACTACTTTGCAAAAACTATTTGAAAGCGCTAACAGACCACTCTTTCGCGAGAAACCTCAACCGTTTGCGCAAATTGCGACCCGAAAATTTCCCACTGACCCTCGCTAAACTCCCGAACACACTGAATAATAAGCACACTGTCTTGCAAACTGAACCTCTACAACGCAAGACACCCACGCGTCACGTCACTTGCGTTTCCATTGGCCACACCGGATCAGTGCGTAGGACGCAGGTGGGCTAATATAAGGACAGCAATTCTTCTCTCTGTTAAACATTGCAGGTCAGCATCTCGATGACGCTCAGATTTGCTCATCAAAAGTCTCCTCTGAGAGCTGTAACTTATTAAATTAATAACTGAGGGAAGATGTCTCTGTTAGTGCAGGAGCATCGGACGGTGCGCTTTGTGTTTCTGGGCG